CTCAAGTCTGCCCTTGCTGTGACGCTAGTGATTCAAGCACAGGAACCCTGTATGTTCTCTTTGGCTTAAAATAAGTATATCATGTAGAATGGTTCTGTTACATTTTTCTGAAATCGCTAAGTGGATATCACTTAGCAATTTTGCCTGATGATCAGTAGAGCTTTCATGTCTTTGTACTTAAAAATCCAACATTTTCTAGGTTGTGGGCAAAATTTTCCGCTAACTGTAAAAGTGTTTGGAACAGAAAATGAAAACACTGTTTGTGCCCACTATCCAGGACCAGTACTAGTGATCATGGAATTCTGTTCTGTTGACCAAATCACCTGGACCATTTGCCAAGCCCTAGTCTCCTCTACGAAAGTTTTGTGGCTTAACAATGAGAGAAAGTAGGAAGATGCTTTGGGGTTTCAAAATGCTGCCTTTAAAATTTGCCCCTTGATCCTGGTGACGTTGCTCAGTGCTACTTTGAGTCATATGGAACACAACCACAGGAACTACTCAGCAGATACAGGTGCCTCAGTCATGTGTTTAATGTTGCAGTACAGCATGGGGTGAAGAATTGGGGAAAGATGCTTTTTATTTACTTAATAATCTACTCCTGTAGACCAAAGTGCTTCACATTTCTGCTCTATATCCAAGGGTTGGAATGGTGATTAATATAACTGATTTATTTCTACCTGTAATTGAAACAATAGGCTCAAAATAGTAATATGGTTATTTTTCTTGTAGGGTAAAGTATTCAATTCCAGAATATTGTTAGGATCCTGATTATGAACAATGTGCTGCTGCACAAAATAATCCACATAATCTCTCATATTAATGTGCTATATTTAGAAACATAGGCCTGTTTTAAACAAACAAAAAACCTGAAAGATTGTCCACAGCTGAGGATGACAAAAAACCCCCTTGAAAGGTAAACTTCAAGAGCTACTGTTAAAACACTGGGTGCACTATTTTTCTGTATAAAATTTATGGTTATTTTCTATATCACTCTTCAAAAGGGATCTATTCAGGTTCAAAATCATATTGATGCTAAAGTCTTTATCTGGTGTTAACTCATAATCTCACATGGGTTCATAACTGAAGTAAGTCACTAGTAATTATTTTATCACTTATAACAACTTGCTCAAAATTCCAAAAGAACTCGATTTGCTTTCTTAAAGAGTCCGCAGGCTGACCCTTCACCTAAGTTTTAAATAACATCCAATAAATCAGCAGAGTTCCATGACTTTCTGTTTTCACTAAAAAGGAAAATTCATAGATGTTTCTATTAGCTTTTATATAAATTCAAAATTCTCAAACTCTATCTTGAGTCGAAATTTTCTAACGCTCGCCCATTTTAATATTATAGATTTTTGTTCACATTCTTAAGTAAAATAGCATTCAAGTATTTAGCCTTTAAAAGAGAAACTCAGGTAACTAATCTCACTTTTCTAAAGTCCTTTAATAGATCCACTTCATATAAAAGGGATGTTTACCTAATCTTTTCCCATATTTTATAAGTGTTCTTGCTAAAAAAAAAAAAAAACTTCTATCTATAGGATCCATGGGAAACTGCTTGTATAAATATAAAAGCACCATATATACTCTAACTCCTTTGGGTGCTTGAAGCCCATGACAGCTACTCTTTTTGGTCTGTTTTAATGGTTAAGTATAGATAGCCTGGCTGATGGGCTGGTTGAAACAGAGCGTATTAAGTATGTCCCAATGGAACTCGCTTAAGATCACACCTCAGAAAACTAGTTATGTGTTGGGTTTTCATTTCATTTGTTTTTAACCGCACTTTTAATATAAAGGTTCTTGATACAGTAAAATCTGTTATTTACAATTTTTTATTGTTCACCCACCCTTTTTCCTGCCACACATTCCCGAATAGCTAATCGTAGTGAGTTCTAACAGTTTACATGGCATTATCCTGCTTTTCCATAACGGTATGGGAAATATGCCTGCTGTCAGTATTTTGTTCATTTAGAGGTGACTCCTTATCTGTCTCTCAAGGCCTTGAGTTACTTGGGATGAGGAAAGTGTAAGTTCCTGCAATATGATCTCTGATATTAAGGAAGAGAAGACAAAATCTTCACATCTCTTATTGCCGTTTCCCCCAAGAGGAGTTTTGCTATTATTTATTTTTCTCATTGTACTGTAAGAAAAGTTCATTTTTAAGTAGTTTATTTTACTCTCTAATTTCATACCTGATTAATAGTAATGACATATTTACTTAAACAGTGGGCATTCATGATCCATCTGTATGCAAACTGTCAGTAGTACTTAGTAATGAATAGATAAATTTCAATATAATTTCAATTTTTGTTTAGAGGCTAAATTAAGATTCAATTCACGTTCTCCTATTAATACTGAATGTGATCATGTTATTCAGACAGTTCACATTTGGGTAGGATCTCAATAACTCAGGGTCCGGTTCCATACTAACCCTAAATTAGCAAAACAACACAGTTGTTAGTGAAGGTGATGTCTCGAATGTCTAAGCTTTTCTCATCTTCCCTTATCTATTTAGACACATTGTAAGGAAATCTGGACAGTCTCAGCCAGACCTGCCACTGGCTTTTCAGATTTACGCTTCAGTGACATGCTTCTAATGCAATTTCAAATTAGGGATCCACTCGTATTTCATGTTCCCAAGCCAGTCACTGACACAGGTAACATCCCTAGGTTCATTTTGGGTAGAAGGAAAAAGGACCTCCTCCCACCCCCAAGGAAATTTTTTTTAATTAGAAGACCTTGAAAGGGGGTATATAAATTTGAACTTAATTTCTTGACCATATTAAAAACAGTTATTACGCATGGTTTTTAATGTGACATAAATTTGCTTTCTGCTAATTACCATTCCCCCTCCCACCTGATTCTGTCTCTTTAATGACTATTTTACTAAGTTTGAAATCCAACGCCTTAATGTGCTCACTCAGTTTTCCCTCTGCCTCGTGTTTTCTCTCCCTGTCTGTATGTGTTCACATTGTGTCGAATGCTGGCAAAACCTCTAAGACTGTCAAGAAAATGCTTGAAATTTGATTTGTCGTCGTGTAAATTCATGGTAAAATGTCTTAATGTTATTTGGCTATGTAGGATGTAGGAACAGAAGATAACTTAAATAAAGTCATTTTTGTAATGTAAAATTGGGATTTGTCCCTTTCTTACTCATTTGAAGAATTCCTGTTTACCTTTGGCATTTCTGTTGTGTTTTTGCATATTCTGTTACTAAGGCTCCCTGTACTCTGCAGGAAATGGGTTGCATGCATTCTTTCACTTTGTGTTTAGCCAGTTTCTGCAATTGTGACTAATTATTTCCTTCCTTAATTCACTGTGCTGCATCTACCCAAGGTGCCCCTGGAGTTTCATTTGGGTAATTAGTGCCATAATGTGTAATATGCAATTTCTGTGCATGTGCCAGATCAGATTGTACAATTGCTGTCCAGCCAGACCAGCTTTCTGTAAATACTTGGTAAATGACTGTGGTTACTTAAAGGGATCAGAATGGTTCTGCACAGCTAGGAGGACTCCCCTGGTTAACCACATATGCTCCAGGAGTAGGAAAGCCTTTCATAAGAACACTTGTACCTCTTATACATAAAAGTTTGTGATTGGTAACTTTTGAAACTAAATTATGACTTTGTATATTTTTCTATGGTCACTTATGACTCAGTTATTTTACTGATAAGCAACTGACAGTCCTTTGAAGAAGGACTATTGAGATGAAGGACTGAGTGTGGCGGAAGGGGCTATGTGAATGTGTGCATCAGACACTTAGAAAGCATTGTGTGAGAGTTCTGGAGGAATTTTAGACAAGAACTGAGAAATGCAACATATGTAAATCTTTGAATACAGGTTATACTTTAAATTTCATACTTGAACGTATTTGAACAAAGCAAGGTGCAAAAATGATCAGGATACCATAAGTGATAAGAGTGTTTTCAGAATTTGAATATTTTGCATAAAAGACACAGCATTAGGCAAAGATGTTAACACCAAACATCTAAACAAATTGGCCATTCTATTTACTATGATTCATGGATTCTTCTATTATAATTATACTAGAGGCCCAGTGCATGAAAATCCATGCACTGGAGGGGGGTCCCTCAGCCTGGCCTGCCCCCTCTCACAGTCCGGGAACCCTCAGGGGCAGGAGGCGACCCAGTGATCAGGGGAAGGCGACGCCCCATCACACCTATGCTGCTGCCACTGCCAGCAGTGCAAGCCTTGGCTGGCCCTAGTTACCTGCACCTCGGGTGGCGCTGGGCAGCTGGGGGGCTAAGGGGGCTGGGGGACTCTGGAGGCAGATGCGTGGAGTGGCCGGGCCCACCTGGGGGCTGAGGGGACTGGGCGCCACCATCTTGTGGCTGTGGGCGCTGCCATCTTTGAGAGTGTGCCAGTCAATTAGCATATTCCCTCCTTATTGGCTGTGGGCACTGCCATCATTGAGGGCAGGCAGTCAATTAACATATTCCCTCCTTATTGGCTGTGGGTGCTGCCATCTTTGTGACCGTGTCAGGGTCAATTAGCATATTCCCTCTTTATTAGATAGGAAAGTTTGGGAACAAGTGGACTTTCTCTTCAGTTTATTTCTTTAATTCTTTAAGGAATTAATTTCATTTCAACTCAAGTTACATCTAGACATCACCATATTTAAAAAGGTGTTTTTGTTCCATCTTCTTAATCTCAGGCAACATAGATCTTGGGAAAAGTGACACAAAAGAAGCAACATGTAAGTTTTGCATTTTATCTCTCTTCCATAGTTCTTGTAAAAAAAAAAAATCAACTTCCTAGCAGTGATTTTGATAAAGAAAACATAACATTTCTTCTATTTGATATGCAAAGATTCTTGGGGTTCCCTTATAATTTTACATAAACTATGTGGAGTAATTTTGTTAAAATAATACTCTAAGTAATATTTGGACAGCTTTGAATATACCATGTTAATTTAATCAAATGATAATTAAAACCAATGCAAAACATTAAGGCATACTCATTGTAGGTTTGAAGACTAAATGTCCACAAATTTATTCAATAGTTGATGAGTTCCATTTGTGCCTATTGAGTTATATGTATAAATTATAATTCTTAGTGATTGAAATTGCTTTATGAAAAATACTTTGTAGCATAGCCAATCTCAGCAAAAACTTGAAAGCTCATGTATATCAATGATCTCTAAGTGGTGTTAAAGAAAAAATTATTCTGACATTTGTTAAAATGTTAAGAAAGACTTTATTCAGGATTTTTTCTTAACTCTCCCCAGGTCCCAGCCTTTGGTGGTGTGACTCAGACTTTCTGGGTGGTCACTTTCCGAGCCTTAAGAGCCTTAACAAGGTCAGCACGCTAACAGATTTAGTTGTTCTATGCACCGAGAAACAAAGACAGGATGTTGACAGCCTTTATTTAATGAGAAAATGTTTAAAATAAGTTTATGCTTGGGCAACTGAAAGCTAGAGATTTAGCTTCAACCAGAACTTCTCAGTCTAACCATTTAGCTACATAAATATTTTGTCAAGTCCAGATAACCTGTGTCAAATGGCAAATATAAAGAATACCACAGGAATTACATACCTGATTTACATTACATAAGACTTGTTTATGGAGGGGAGGAGGAAATGGAAGTGTGGGGGCAGAAAAGTAATTTTCCTTCTACCCTCCTAAATTCTTCTGGCTGGACTAATAATCAAATTGACATGAGACAGATTAACAGAAGAAAATGACCAAATTTATTATGTACGTACATACGGGGGTTCTATAAGACTGTGAGACCTGAGGACATATTGGATAGTTGAGGCTTACATGCCATTCTGGACTAATGAGAGGGAAGGAGGAGTTTGGAATTTCAGAAGGAAACAGGTGACTCGGTTCTATAAGACTGTGAGACCTGAGGACATATTTGATAGTTGAGGCTTACATGCCATTCTGGGAGGGAGGAGTCTGGAATTTCAAAAGGAGCCAGGCGATTCACAGATAGATGAGAAAGAGCAAACAAGTGGCAATTTTTTTAAAAATATATTTTATTGATTTTCTACAGAGAGGAAGGGAGAGAGATAGAAAGCTAGAAACATCGATGAGAGAGAAACATCGATCAGCTGCCTCCTGCACATCTCCTACTGGGGATGTGCCCGCAACCCAGGTACATGCCCTTGACCGGAATCGAACCTGGGACCCTTCAGTCCACAGGCTGACGCTCTATCCACTGAGCCAAACCGGTTTCGGCAAGTGGCAAATTTTTATTTGGCTACCTAAAAACAATGGGACACAACAATGGGAATCTAACAGACTTTGCTGGTTCCTCCCTGTCTGCCACATTTAATTCATACATGCTAAGGGCAATACACCAAGGCTCCCTTCCCAAAGCAGCTTGTCCTATTTGAATTTCTTAGGCTGGTAAGGAGGGGCGGGGGTAAAAACAAAACAGAAAACTCTTCTTCCCTTTGTTGGGCTTTCATTGTTTATAACTTGAAATAATCTACATGCCACTGTGGCACTTTCTGGAGAAACTAGTTCTGGACCCTACACTAAACTGGGAGCCTCCTGATAAAAGATGCTCAATACACTTTCTAAAATGCAGGCTGATTTGCCCTACAAATTCTACCAACAACAATGTTAAAACAATCAAATCCCAGTACGGCAAACCAGCTAGATAGCTTTCCCTAACTCACTAAATATAAAACTGCTAAAATATATTAGTAGATAAATAAAAGTTTTCTTAAAAAGAAACTTCTAGTGACTTTTGAGGGCTTTAATTATAAATCTGATCAAGAACTTGCATCAAAAATGTCTGAAAGTTGACTCCAAAACCTTAGGTAAAGGCATTCTTTTTAAAATACTCACCCGAAGATATTTTTTTCCATTGATTTTTAGAGAGAGTGGAAGAGAGAGGGAAAGACAGAAATATCGATTTGAGAGAAACACATCAATTGTTTGCCTCCTGCACATGGCCCAACCAGGGCCCGGGCCAGAGAGGAGCCTGCAGTTGAGGCTCCCTTGACTGGAATCAAACCCGGGACTCTTCTGTTTGCAGGCCAGTACTCTATCCACTGAGCCAAACCAGCTAGGGCTGATAATGCCATTCTTAATAACACTGACTTGACCATAGTAAACAATGGTAAGACAGAGTTGCATTCTGGGTTGTTTTAAAATGTTTAGGATCATAAACATTTTTTTATGTATACTGGGAGGGGGAAAAATTACACAGAATTTTATCTGGGACTGTATAATGCTTTAAATAGGCCAGGCAATAAAGGATTTACAGTTTATCTGTGTTACTTGAATTGATTAAACAGGAACCATACAGTATTAGATATCCATAGAAATGTCCCTTCTATCTTTAGTTCTGCCCATCCAAATATAATTTTGGCTCTTATATTAAGATCCTTAAGACTTCTTTAGAATTCCTCTAACACTGTCTACCTGCCTATGTGTTTAGGGCACATATCACTTGTACTATGGTTATTTTAGGACCTATCATATCTCTCAGAGTTAGAGGCCCAATAAGTGCAGAAACCAAAACTTATTTATCTTTATACTTCACCAAAGTGCTTCCCCTTGTGACTCATACAAAATGGGCCCTGAAAAAATACTGCTGAATCAGTCAGGAGATCTAACTCTATTAACTGAGGGTCTTGGAACTGTGAAGGGCCATTGTTCCTGTCCAAATTGACTTCTGAATATATTATTCTCCTGGGGCTTCTATAACAATGTATCACACACTGGGTGACTTACAAACAGATCAAACAGAAATGTATTGTCTCAGTTCTAGAGCAAGATGTCAGTGGGGTTCATTCCTTCTGAGGGCTAAGAATCTGTTCCAGAACACACTCCTGTCTTTCGGTGGTTTGTTAGCAATCCTAGGTGATTCTTGGCTTGTAGGTGCATCACCCCAGATCTCTGTCTTCGTGTTCATATGGCGTTCTCCCTGTGTGTGTCTATCTCTGTGTCCAAACTTCCCCATTTTATAAGTACACAGTCATATTGGACTAGGGTCCACCCTAATGACCTTATCTTAACTTGATAATCTGCAAAAACCTTATCCTATACTAGAGGCCCAATGCATGAAAATTCATGCAAGAGTAGGCCTTTCTTCCCCTGGCTGCCAGCAGGCACCCAGGACCTGGGCTGGCTTCCCTCAGGCCTTGGCTTTGTCAAGAAGGATGTCCAGTTAATTAGCATATTACCCTTCTGTTGTTATTATCTACACTAATAAAAGGCAAACATGCAAATTGACCGTACCTTTGCTACACCTTAAGCCATGCCCACCAGCCAATCAGAGCGACTATATGCAAATTAACCCAACCAAGATGGTGGCCGGCAGCCACGAAGCTGGAGCGAGCAGGAGGCTTATTTGCTCCAGTGATGGAGGAAGCCAAGCTTCCCACGGCCAGCTGTAGCCTCTGCAAAAGGCAACAAAGTTTCAATTATAGAAGGTAAATAAATCCCAGAATAAAAAGAAAAAGAAAAAAAGGGAAGGCTGGGAGCTTCCAT